TCTAGTCAGTCTGAAGTCTAAATTAGACTCTGCTTTGTTAGTGCTTCCGTCTCTCAATTGAATCAACTACCCTGAGACTGCATGAATCAAGGAAGGCCACACTCTCAATCAGATTTTTTGCCCTGGACTGGCTTTCATTGTCTGCTAGAAAATGCTTAATGGGAAGTACTTGGAAAATGCACACACTTATGTCATTGAAGTTGCTCCTTTGTCTGTATCCATTACATCTGCTTTATTTTGAGGTAAACTATAGCAGAAGTTGGCTTTTTCAACCCTGGAAAGCCCTAAAATTAAGGATCTCTTACTCAATTAAGACTGCAGAGCTGCAGCCAGAGCAAACCTGTCTTTCCTTCTAACCCGGCTTGCAGACTGGCTAACTTCAATCCTATTTCGTATCTCTTGTGAGACGGCCAAAAACAGTAAGAAGCCACCAACCCACATCATCACTATGGATATTGCCAAATTATTTCCCCTAAGAGTAAAGTCACAGTTGGCATGTGTTCTGCCCTCCAAGATGGCATAGGTTACAGTTTTACCAGATATCTTGTGATGGCCTAACATGGGCCACCCAGCTTTCCAGCCTCTGATAGCTGAGTCTTGCCGATAGCCTGATGACATCTGCATCACATATTTTAGGTTCACTCATGGACAGTAACTTATTTCCAAATTCTATACTGGTTAAATTAGGTTTGCATTTGTGCAATAGAAAATCCAATTGACATTGGCTTAGTATATCAATTTTTTGGTTTCTCATAAACTCTTGGCCATCAGCAGTATCGAACCATTATTTCTGCTCCCTCTCTGAGGTCATACAAGGAAGGATCTGGATGCCCTGGGTCATCTAGCTGGTTGCTCTACCATCCCTAGCACATTTTTCTCATGTGCATTGCCCAAGATGGTTGGCTACAACATCCAGATTACAGAATCCGGATGGAAGTAGACAGGAGAAAGGGGAACAGCCCCACCATTTATGAACATGTCCCAGAAATTGCACACCTCACTTCCTCCCAAATTTCATTGGCTATCACTTGGTCATATAGACACACTTATCTGCAAGTCTGTTTGGGAGATATAATTATTTTTCAGTGGTATATGCCCAAATACAAATGGAGGTTCTGTCATAATGAAATGAGAGAAAGGCAGAAAAGATGTTGGGAGATGTGTAGCAATCTCTGGACTCTATGGGGATAAAAAAAAATTGAGAGTATCCAAATTCAGGATCAAAATCAAAATTCAGGACCAAAAAATATCAACAAATATCACCTGGAATAAGAACAATGTACAGTTAAGCTACACATATACAAGTGTCAGCATCTTGTCTGGAAGCAACTAACGGTCTATCTACACGGCATTTTAGATATGTATTTTTTTCTCCCTTCTACAGGATTTTGAGCTCCTTAAGGGCAGAGGCTTTGTGTCTCCTTCTCCTAGTAGGTATCCAATATGTATCTGTCAAATGAAAGAATGAATATGAGTCACTAGAACTCTAATATATATTATAAATTCTTTATCACAAGATAATTGGAACGATCTCCAGATAAGGAATTGTTGGGGCATTGTCTGGTCCAGATCCACTGTCTGGGTCCTTGGTGTGTCCCATATTGTTGTTTCTGTGTTCATCATTCTTTCACAGGGTGTCTTCTACTGGGCACAGAGCCTGCCTCAGAGGAGCATGTGGGTAATGAACTACCAAGAGAGGACTAGGACTCGGTTCTTCCAACCCTCCATCCAGAGTGCTTTTCACAACCACATGTGTAATAAGTGCAGTAAGAGATGAGAGGAGGGAGTGATTACTCCTATCTGGTTTGATCCCAGAAGGTTTTCTGAATAAAGTGTTTTTGAATGAGACATTATAATAACAGAATTTCTTAAACCTTTTCCCCCAAGGAATACCTGGGCAGATAGAAGAGACAGAAATCTGGTCCCTGCTTAGTTTGGGGGTATAGACTGAAGAAACCTACCCCAAGGAAATTTTTTTTCATTTTTCTTTACTTCACTATTCATTTATGCATGCATTTATTCTTTCATTCATGTGTCTAGCAAACATAACGGAGTCCTAATTAAATGCCAGTCATTGTTTTTTGTGAGGCCACAAAAGACCCTACCCTCTTGGAGCTTACATTCTTGTACAGAATAGACATCAAACAAATAAGCAACATAAATCAGCAAGATAATTTCTGATCGTGCTAAAAGCTATGACTGAAATCAAACAGAGTAGTCTAATACAGAGTGCATATACCTCTCTGTGCCTCAGTTGACTCATCTGTAAAATGGAGATGATAATAATAGAGGTCTATGCCGGGCGTGATGGCTCACACCTGTAGTCCCAGCACTTTGGGAGGCTGAGGTGGGTAGTTCACTTGAGGTCGGGAGTTTGAGGTCAGCCTAACTAACGTGGTAAAACCTCATCTCTACTAAAAATACAAAAATTAGCCAAGCGTGGTGATGCGTGCCTGTAATCCCAGCTACTTGAGAGGCTGAGGCAGGAGAATCACTTGAACCTGGGAGGTGGAGTTTGCAGTGAGCTGAGATCACGCCATTGCACTCCAGCCTGGGCAACAAGAGTGAAACTCAGTCTCAAATAATAATAATAGTAATAATAATAATGATGTCTATAATTCCAAAATGCAAAACTGAAAGCTTTGTCCTAACTCAGTTGATTGCAAACATAACACATTTGAAGGTGGATCTTGACCTGAACTGAATGAGTTATTCTTTTTTTCTTTAAATAATTCCAGTTAGAGTGGAAAATCCTATATGTCACTTCAGAAATTTTGTGTTTGATTATGGGATGCTTCCCCAGGCCTCAATAGGTATTACATAATCTAGGGTATATGTAGCATATTACCTTCTAAAATTTGAAAAATTCTGAATTCCAAAACACATGTAGCACTAAAGGTTTTAGATAAAGGATTGAAGACCTGTAGTATCCATTATTGTGCGGATTAAATGAATTAATATATGGAAAACACTGAAAATGATGCTTGGCATATGGTAAATGCTACCTAAGTTAACTACTATTACTATTATTACCACTATTCTTACATGGGGAGGTATTTAGATAAGTTGGTCAGGGAAAGCGTCTCTGAGGATGTGTCACTTGAATAGGCAACTAAGGGGTGGTAACAAGCTGGCTGTGGGAAGAGGAGGAGAAAGATGATTTCAGGAAGAGGAAACAGCAAGTGCCAAGACCGTGGTGGTTACAAGTCTGGCTTGAATGCAGAACAGAAAACAGACCAGATGGCTGATGTGTGGTGAAGGAAGGGAAAGATGGTTCAAGGTCAGAGAGGTAGGCTGAAGTCAGAACACGCATGATATGAGCAATGGTAAAGAGTTCGGATTTCATTTAGAGTGTAATATGAAGACGTTACAGTTGATTTGATTCAGGTTTATAAAGAATGCTCTGATGCTGTTTGATGAATGAGTTGTAGAGGAGGAGGAGGAACAGGGAGAAGAATCTGGAATCTAGCATAGCGGTCCAGATGAGACGTAGTGACTAATTGGAGTAGGGTGGTGGTAATAGTTGAAGAGAAGAGTGGACAGGTGTGAGAAAAAAGTTTAGAAATAAAGGGGGGGAAAGGTTTTCTAATTTGCATTCTAATTTATAATATGCCAGTGTATAAAGGTTAAAAATTTCACACTCATTATCTCAGGTGTGTTAAGGCCAGTGGTGTGCTAGACCCCACTTGAAAATGGCCATGGGGGGAACATTTCCACTACAGAAACTGACAAATGCTACAAATCAACACAACAAATCAGGGAGTTTTATTAGAGGGAAAGAAAGTTTATTGTTAAACATTTATCAGCATACCCCTGCTGAAGGTGACTTTATTTTTTGACAACCAAACTTCCTTCATTTTACAGCCTCCACTTTCCCTGATCACGAAAACACTTAAGCTAGGCACATCCTGGGAAATGCAGTTTGAGGATTGCTGTCTCAATCACTTCATGTTCTTAATTCAGGGATCCTCCCACTTCTTCCCAGGGTCTCATCTAGGTACATGGGAACGGGATGGGAGGAGGGACCTGGTTCATGATTGTCATTTATCCATGTTGGCCCCCTCTGAAGTACAACTCCCATCTCTGCTTTACAATTGACTTTTACGGGTAGGTTCCCGTATGTCCCAGTTTACCTGACAGACTCTTGGTTTATGCCTGTAGTCTTGGCGCAATTATTAACAGCCCCACTTCACTCCTGTAAGTATACTAATGGATCAATTACATGGTTCCTCTGATGATGCATCACCCAGGCAGTGCTCTGACTCTATTACCCTCACCTCTCCAAATGTATGTAATGTAAACTCAATGTGTAGGGAAAACGCTCATCCTAAAATCCCCTTGGAGGGGATGATTTGCAATATGATTTCCAAAACCAATACAAGAGGAGAGCCAGATTATAGAATGGCAGTGCCAGAATGGCAGGAATATATATTTTATAATCAAATGCCACTTACTAGTTGTGTAACCTTGGGTCAATCGGTTAATATTGCTGAGTGGTCTTCATTTATAAAATGGGAATCTTAGAATATTCTGATGCTCAACTATTATAAAAGACTCAAAGACTTGGTACACAAGTACCAACGCAGGTTTATCAAGTCCACATTAATTCCACTAAAGTCTTCCTGTGTTCTTTTTCCTGGGTGTATCCAAATTTTAACATTTCTTCAACCTCTAAATTTCCGACTTTGGCAGTGAATCGATGGCTCTGCCATTTTAGTGTTCTGTGTACCAACGAGTAGGAAAATGCTGCTTCTAACATCCTGAAAGCTATTTTGCTAAAGAACTCAGATGCTAAAAGCTAATTATGTAACTAAATAATTGTAAATCTCAATATTTGACAAATACAGTCATGGGGTGGGGGCTGCTATTTAGACACTTGAAAACAAGACCTGAATTGTTTATTTTTAAAATATTGCAAAAGAGAGGCAGCAAGTGGGAATTTTAAATTCTGATTCTTGGTATATTTTAGAACAATCATTTGTTCTTTCTTATACTTTCAGGTGTTTCCAATGTGGACACTGAAGAGACAATTTCTTATCCTTTGTAACATAATCCTAATTTCCAAACTCCTTGGGGCTAGATGGTTTCCTAAAACTCTGCCCTGTGATGTCACTGTGGATGTTCCAGGGAACCATGTGATCGTGGACTGCACAGACAAGCATTTGACGGAGATTCCTGGAGATATTCCCACCAACACCACGAACCTCACCCTCACCATTAACCACATACCAGACATCTCCCCAGCATCCTTTCACAGACTGGACCATCTGGTAGAGATCGATTTCAGATGCAACTGTGTACCAATTCGACTTGGGTCAAAAAACAACGTGTGCACCAGGAGGCTCCAGATTAAACCCAGAAGCTTTAGTGGACTCAGTTATTTAAAATCCCTTTACCTGGATGGAAACCAGCTTCTAGAGATACCGCAGGGCCTTCCGCCCAGCTTACAGCTTCTCAGCCTTGAAGCCAACAACATCTTTTCCATCAGAAAAGAGAATCTAACAGAACTGGCCAACATAGAAATACTCTACCTGGGCCAAAACTGTTATTATCGAAATCCTTGTAATGTTTCATATTCCATAGAAAAAGATGCCTTCCTAAATTTGACAAAGTTAAAAGTGCTCTCCCTGAGAGATAACAATGTCACGACCATCCCTACGGTTTTGCCATCTACTTTAACAGAACTCTATCTCCTCAACAACATGATTGCAAAAATACAAGAAGGTGATTTTAATAACCTCAACCAATTACAAATTCTTGACCTAGGTGGAAATTGCCCTCGTTGCTATAATGCCCCATATCCTTGTACACCATGTGAAAATAATTCTCCCCTCCAGATCCCTGAAAATGCTTTTGATGCACTGACAGAATTAAAAGTTTTACGTCTGCGCAGTACCTCTCTTCAGCACGTGCCTGCAAGATGGTTTAAGAACATCAACAACCTCCAGGAACTAGATCTGTCCCAAAACTTCTTGGCCAAAGAAATTGGTGATGCCAAATTTCTGCATTTTCTCCCCAACCTCATCCAATTGGATCTGTCTTTCAATTTTGAACTTCAGGTCTATCGTGCATCTATGAATCTATCACAAGCATTTTCTTCACTGAAAAGCCTAAAAATTTTACGGATCAGAGGATATGTCTTTAAAGAGCTGAAAAGCTTTAACCTGTTGCCGTTACATAATCTTCAAAATCTTGAAGTTCTTGATCTTGGCACTAACTTTATAAAAATTGCTAACCTCAGCATGTTTAAACAATTTAAAAGATTGAAAGTCATCGATCTTTCAGTGAATAAAATATCACCTTCAGGAGATTCAAGTGAAGTTGGCTTCTGCTCAAACGCCAGAACTTCTGTAGAAAGTTATGAACCCCAGGTCCTTGAACAATTACATTATTTCAAGTATGATGAGTATGCAAGGAGTTGCAGGTTCAAAACCAAAGAGGCTTCTTTCATGCCTATCAATGAAAGCTGCCACAAGTATGAGCACACCTTGGATCTAAGTAAAAATAATATATTTTTTGTCAAGTCCTCTGATTTTCAGCATCTTTCTTTCCTCGAATGCCTGAATTTGTCAGGAAATAGCATTGGCCAAACTCTTAATGGCAGTGAGTTCCAACCTTTAGTAGAGCTGAAATATTTGGACTTCTCCAACAACCGGCTTGATTTGCTCCATTCAACAGCATTTGAAGAGCTTCACAAACTGGAAGTTCTGGATATAAGCAGTAATAGCCATTATTTTCAATCAGAAGGAATTACTCACATGCTAAACTTTACCAAGAACCTAAAGGCTCTGCAGAAACTGATGATGAATGACAATGACATCTCTTCCTCCACCAGCAGGACCATGGAGAGTGAGTCTCTTAGAACTCTGGAATTCAGAGGAAATCACTTGGATGCTTTATGGAGAGATGGTGATAACAGATACTTACAATTATTCAAGAATCTGCTAAAATTGGAGGAATTAGATATCTCCAGAAATTCCCTAAATTTCTTGCCCCCTGGAGTTTTTGATGGTATGCCTCCAAATCTAAAGAATCTCTCTTTGGCCAAAAATGGGCTCAAATCTTTCAATTGGGGAAAACTTCAGTGTCTGAAGAACCTGGAAACTTTGGACCTCAGCCACAACCAACTGACGACTGTTCCTGAGAGATTATCCAACTGTTCCAGAAGTCTCAAGAAACTGATTCTTAAGAATAATCAAATCAGGAGACTGACAAAGTATTTTCTACAAGATGCCTTCCAGTTGCGATATCTGGACCTCAGTTCAAATAAAATCCAGATGATCCAAAAGACCAGCTTCCCAGAAAATGTCCTCAACAATCTGGAGATGTTGCTTTTGCATCATAATCGATTTCTGTGCACTTGTGATGCTGTGTGGTTTGTCTGGTGGGTTAACCATACTGAGGTGACTATTCCTTACCTGGCAACAGATGTGACTTGTGTGGGGCCAGGAGCACACAAGGGCCAGAGTGTGGTGTCCCTGGATCTGTACACCTGTGAGTTAGATCTGACTAACCTGATTCTGTTCTCACTTTCCATATCTGCATCTCTTTTTCTCATGGTGATAATGACAGCAAGTCACCTCTATTTCTGGGATGTGTGGTATATTTACCATTTCTGTAAGGCCAAGATAAAGGGGTATCAGCGTCTAATATCACCAGACTCTTGCTATGATGCTTTTATTGTGTATGACACTAAAGACCCAGCTGTGACAGAGTGGGTTTTAGCTGAGTTGGTGGTCAAACTGGAAGACCCAAGAGAGAAACATTTTAATTTATGTCTCGAGGAAAGGGACTGGTTACCAGGGCAGCCAGTTCTGGAAAACCTTTCCCAGAGCATACAGCTTAGCAAAAAGACAGTGTTTGTGATGACAGACAAGTATGCAAAGACTGAAAATTTTAAGATAGCATTTTACTTGTCCCATCAGAGGCTCATAGATGAAAAAGTAGATGTGATTATCTTGATATTTCTTGAGAAGCCCTTTCAGAAGTCCAAGTTCCTCCAGCTCCGGAAAAGGCTCTGTGGGACATCTGTTCTTGAGTGGCCAAAAAACCCGCAAGCTCACCCATACTTCTGGCAGTGTCTGAAGAATGCCCTGGCCGCGGACAATCATGTGGCTTACAGTCAGGTGTTCAAGGAAACGGTCTAGCCCTTCTTTGCAAAACACGACTGCCTAGCTTACCAAGGAGACGCCTGACTGCCTACATTGTTTTCATATATATCACACCAAAAGCAGGTTTTGAAATTTTTTAAGAAATGAGATTGCCCATATTTCAGGGGAGTCACCAACGTCTGTCACAGACATTGGAAAGGTGGGATTTATATAATGCATTGGGTCTGCTTTCTTATCTCTCTGTGTCTCTATTTGCACTTAAGTCTCTCCCCTCAGCTCTTGTATAAAACACTGTTGGGAAAAGAGTGTCAAGTAAAGGACGCGGGGCTGTGATTCTCCTGCATTTGTGATGATTAAATATACACACAATCATGAGATTGAGAAGAACTGCATTTCTACCCTTAAGAAGTGCTGGTACATACAGAAATAGGGTAAAAAAAAAAAAACAAAAACCAACAACAACAACAAAAACTTCAAGCTCCATC